ACTTCTGCAGGGATGTGGAATTACAGGAAGATGTTGTCCTGTAGCTGCTGCCCACCCACAGTGGCTCAGCTTCATGGTATATTTGACCACACTGTTACCTAGTTGGATTGTCTGTCATTTTATTTGGTACCAACATAGTATGTGTGCTGTTTGCCTGAAAAATACCCAACTGTTTTCAACGATCCTGTTAAAGTGATAGGGTTTAAGCCTAGAGGTGTAACAGTAACGACGAGGAAGTACAATTCTGTGCACAGGCTAAATGAATTTGTGCATATATTTGATTATTTTGAGTATTTAGTATGCATTCTTACATGTCTGCAGGCTTCAGAATACTTATAAAAATGCTAAAGTGGCAAAGACATTAATTGGAGCTATGGGGAAGGGCACAGCTATGCAGGCCAACACCTGAAAAATCTTTCTTTTCAAGGTCGTCCAGCATGCTACACCTTGGCAAATGCTCGTTTGTGTCTCTCAAAACTGCTCTGTATCACAAAAATACAGTAGATGTTCATTTTTTAAATAATGTTTGTTTAATTGTAATTTTAGCATTGGGTTGGGGGGGTTGGGAAGGGATTAATTTTTTAATTCTGTTGTATTCTATATATTTTTATTGTTGTAACCCACCCGGATTCTTTGTGATTGGGCGGGCTATAAATACATAAGTTGTTTTTGTTGTTGTTGTTGTTATTATTATTATTATTATTTTATATTAAGCTGAAAGAATTTTTGATCTGTCAGCTTGAGCCAGAGTTAAATTTTTGGATAGGTATAATGTGAACAGAACTGGATAGTATTATCCGTCTGAGGTAAATTTAATTCTATATGACTGAGCCATTTTTTAAATGCTTGTTAAATGTATCCCCCCACCCCCCTGAAATCCTTGGCAGCAATTTGGCTTTATCTAACACTCTGTTGTAAAGAGGTTGATATTACATCCTATTGTAAATATATATTTTGTATCCTAAAGAGACAAGAGTTTCTTACTCAGGACCCCCCTCACACAGGAATGTCCTGTCACCTCTTGTCTGCATAAAAGTATACTGAAAAATTGTTGGAAACTTGTGAAGTAGTATAAATATAAGTGAACCTTTTTCCTATGCAACTCTGGTGTGCTAAAAAAAAAAAAACTACTTGAAAAGGATTTGAATGCTTTTCACCACTTTTATCAAAAGATCTGTTCAGTTATGCAATTATTTTATTAAAATGGTCACTTTCACATTACTTTCAGAGTCTGCAGTGCCGTGACCTTTATTGATGTGGTTATTTGTTTCAGTCAGTCATGTACAGCTACTGAAAATATCCCACCATTCAGCCCAAAGCTGTTGTGGAAACACACATACTTACCAAATCAAATATCCAGCAATAAAACAAATCGAAGCAGGAACAGCAGCCCAATCACCTAATGCTTTCCTACAAAGGGAAGTTTTAAATGCCCTTCTTAAATAAGTTCAGTGAACTGGACAAGCATGTCTTGCCAAGGAAAGCGATAGAAAGGACACTGTAATAGAAAAGGCTTTTCTCTTGTACATTTGGCACATTTGTGAATTATTTCTGCTGGATTATCCATTTCATTTCTCTTGGTTATTTTTTAATTTGTATTGGCCCCAAATGCAGTTCAGGCAATTCATATTGATAGTCTTCCTTGGTTTTACAAGATCCTTTCTTCCAGTATATGCAATAAGAAGTAAATACTTTCAAGTTTTCTAACTAGAGATATTATATAGATTGCCAGGATTTCAGTTACTGCATTTCTTTGGTCAGCTGCTATTTCTCTTTATGGACTTGATAAAGTGATGATTATCTACTCAATATATCTTCCTTTGCTATACATGATCATGCACTGCATGAATACATATTTTGGAGTGCTTTCCTCCTGCCAGTAGTGTGTGGCACTCTGTGTTATAACTACTGTCAGTACCAGCATACCTACCTACCAACCTACCTTTCTTTGGTTATATTCTACCCTTATGCCAACATATCCATCCAGTGAATCCCTGTTGAGCATGCAGAAGTGATATTTTATAATTTGGAATCTGCAAGAAGACTGTTCTTGTAATTAGTGTGTATGTTTGTTCCAGTTCTAATAAATTAATGTTTAAATGCAAATTTGATTGGCCAATTAACCAAGTTGTTCTTTATCATTAGTCCAATGCCAACCGTAGTAAGGACACTGAACAGGTATTGCTTCTCCCTGACACTAATTTTATCAGATCAGGATAGACTGATTTAAATCAAGGAGATTTAAATCAACAATTTAAATCATCAAGAAAAAAGATTGATTTAAATCAGGCTTTCCACTGATATTTCTTCATGTTTTTCCTAAATGCTGTTGGAATTGTGACCACTGAACTATGTTAATTCACAGCTAAATGAAGTATTATTTACACCGTTTCACATGTACAGTCAACCCTTGTATATCTTCATATGTATTTTGCATGCTTCTCTCTCTCTTTTTTATCTTTATAAGGTATGTCTCTAAATTTTCCCCACATACAGTCTTATGACCAGCACTCATTGCATTCTGTAATATTAAATATAAAATACAGCAGCCTGTGTACTGTACATACTACTAGTCACCTTCTTTCCACTGTTGTGCACTCTCTACTTCATTCTGTCTTGGCCCAAGTACATTTTCACAAAAACCAAGTAGCAAACAATATAATCTCCATGACTGATAGCTAGAAGTTAGGCCAAACTGTGTAGACTAGAGCCTCTTACTTTAGTCTTGAAAATAAAATGCCTCTGTTGGGTAGATAGGGTGGAAATATTCACATCTGAGAAATAACCTGATTAGTTCTTCATTTTCATTAGGGGTGGGGAAACTGTGGCAGTCCAGAAATTGCTGTGTGTTGTCATCACTATAACTAGTATAGCTAGTGGGAATGGATTGTGAGAGTTGAAGTCCAGCAATATTCTAGAGCATCACAAATTGAGCATGCCATAGATGTGGATATATCTTTAGATTTAATTTACAGATTAACCGTAGGGCTAACATATTTATATCTAGAATGTTTAATATTAAAATGAAAATACTGTTAAGGAAAAAGTAATAGTAACTTAGAAAAATAACTATTTTTAAAAACCTGTAGTCAGTGCTTTTAACTTTTTAAAATAAGATTGATCTTTGTCCACCATGTATGAGAGTCATAGGAGAGGACAAGCTGTGTCATGATAAGAGTTGTTCATGAATAGAATCTGCTGGAAGAGGATATGAGAGCCTAGTTGTATGGGGAGAAGGAAGGAGATTGTACTCTCAAATTAAATCTTGTATCATGGTTGTGGTAATTTTTTTAGGAGTTTTGTATAAACTAATGTTGAAAAAAGAACCCTTTTTAATTTAACACTAGTGATTGTAGTTCTTGGAAGTGGGTACCTAAAAGTGCCCTGAATTATTCCAGTACAAGTTTGAAATGCTAGATATTTTTCTAACTAGAGACTTTAAAAAAATCTCTCATAATAAGCAAATGTTAGTATTGGTTCTTACAGAGAGTCAAGGTATGAAACTCACAATTAAGTACTTCCTTTGCAATCCTGGTTTGTTATGCATTTTCATTGAACACTGTTTGAAACCAACTACCTTGCAAGTAACCCTTTAGGAAAGATTGCTTTTATTACATATATTCAACATTTTTTTTTGTCTGTTTTCAAATGTGATGCCAAATTCTACTATTTCCTTCTGGACCTTTGGAGTCTTTGTCCAGATTTCATTATGTTTGTAAAATTGTGCACCACCTCCGTAGTATCATTGTAAACTAATCTAATCTAACCATAGTTACTGATAGCCAATTTAAATCACAATAAAATAAAATGAAAAATCTAAATAGATTCCCACAAAATGAGTGACTATGATCCATTTTGTGTACTGCTTACATGTAGAAACATGTAAGAAAGTTTTGTCTTGCATGTATTTTATAATGTTTGATTTCTTCTTAATATTGGCCTCTCTTATTTCCCCTGAATTGAAAAATTCATATAAAATCTTTGCTTCGACATAACACTAAGTCAGGATCTGTTGAGCCTAGGTGTGGTTTTATTGAATACTTGAAGCCATACCTGGTACCCAAACAATGTTTGCATTTTGGCAGCGAACCCCAGCTTGAAGCCATGGTTTGAAGATGGCTTCTAGACTTGTTTTAACTATGATTTGTCCTTATACTTGAACCTTACATTCTGGCTTCTTCATGGTTTGTTTCTGTGCCTGCACAAGTCTCGCACCAAGCCGGGGATGTGTGAGCCAAGAACAGCTGAAAAAGAAAACAGCCTTTAGATTGTACTAATTTTGCTTGCTTATTATCCTCAAACTCTTCCATTCCTTCTCATTCTCATACAGTAGTCTTCTTTCCACACTTAAATACTTTCTAAACATGAGACAGAGCTGGTAGTCTTACCTCCAAATGCTGAACCACATAATGGACCCACAAAGGAAAATTGGTGATGTTCAGAAACAAACAGATGCTGGATACAACCCTGCAAAAAAACCCACAGCCACCAACTTTACAAAGACAGACAACATCATAAAGCAACCAACATAGCCAAAATAACCTGCTACGGGGTGAAACCACATGCTGTGGCCCTGATCCGGAGTTTTTTCGGCACCAAAAGAAGTGGCAAAATGACACTCCTTTTTGGGGCAGAAAAAAGTGCCCTTTCTGTCGTGGTGGCGGCTTTTTGGCATTTCTGTGGTGTGGCACATGTAAACACAGTGATGCCACCTGCTGTGTGTCAGTGGGACGATGTGATGCCAGCTTGTGAGTGGCGTCGGGGTGTGTGTCATGCGTATGCCATGCCCCCACACCACCCCAAAGCTGGCGTTTTTTGCCAGTTTCTTTGCTCTTAAGCCTCCTGCAAACACTTTCCACTAAAAAAAAAGCACAACCCTTTGCTGCTGTTGTGCACCATCAAGTTGTTTCTGACTTATGAAGAACCTAAGACAAACTTATTACAGGGTTCTCTGAGTCTGAGAATGTGTGACTTGCTCAAGGTCACCCAGTGGGTTTCCTTGGCTGAGTGGGGATTCAAACCCTGGCCTCCAGAGTCACAATCCAATGTTCAATCCACTGCACCATGCTGGCTCCTACCCCTGCCCCCTTAACACTGCTCAAAGCCTTTTGAAAAAACACAGGTAATACATTTAGGTCATAATACACATCTCTGCCAAATCAACAACAACAGCAACAACAAAATACAGGACAAAACCTAACAAACCACAAGCCCACAGTAAATAAAACAAAACCCCACATTCACTGTCACAGAACCAAGCTAACTCTTTACTTCTGCTAATCGTTTGAGGAAACTAGCCAGAAATTAATAGTTAGCTATGCTTACTTTACTCAGCAACAAGATTTGTTCAGACTAACCCTGGCTTAGTGTTATGTGTGAATGCAGCCAATATTTGAAAGTAAAGCAGATTAATGTTTTCCCCTTTCTGTGCAGGAAGGAGCCTCCTATATCACTGGGCATCTTCCCACTACCTCCAGGAGATGCGATTCTTACGCCTGACACTCAGAGAGGAACAGTGGAAACTCCTGGGTCAGACATTTGGAAGTTCCGTGAAATAAGTCAGCCACGCTCTCGCACCAGCCTAAAGGTAAGATAGTAGTATCTTTTTCATGTGTGGATAGTTTTTAGTAATAGGTGTCTTACAATATGTTATGTATGTGATTGAAACCTAAACCCTGACCTGTCTTCCTTTAGTTTCTGTACTTATAAGTGAGAATGATTCCAGGTAAGTTGAAGGTGAGTCTTTCTTCTTCTTCTTTTCTTTTATGTATTTTGCTAGTTGGTCTTATTCACTTGGGGAGAATTGGAAGGGCAAGACCTCAGTTCTGGTTTTCCTGATACACTTTTAACATTAATTTTCTGGATGGGTAGAGTGCTTCTTAAGGCCTGTATATGATGTCTGTACAAATTAATATCTCAAGCAACATTTTTGTGTTGGATTGTTAGTGAGGTCAGGGCTATGCTTTATATGAGAAGGACCCTTAAGAAAATGAATGTACAAAGCAATGTGTTACAGATTTTTTCCTCTCCATTTAAATTAAACAGTACTTTAAAGGTAACTAGAGCAATAATACCTGTATCTGAATGATACATTTCATCTATGTTAAAGAATATGAGTGTGGTTGCATTTTATGATTTAATTCTTCAAACAGATCTATTTGGGCCATAGCACTGTATCCTCCAGAGACATTTGCAGTATCATATTTTCTTCTAGATTGTACTTGATCCACCTACCAGGCATTTATAATGGCCTCAAATTGCTTACATTTGGTTGTTTTTAAATTGTTTAGGCTGTTGGAGACTGAAATTCTGAGCAGTTGTTATAGCTTGGGGTTACCTGTTCTTGAAACAGATCAAGAGCTGGTGTGCTTTGCTCATTCTTCCATATCTGTATGTTCTGCTATGTGGATTCTGTGCAAGTCACACTCTTTGGTGAAGGTACACCTTTTACACTTTTATCTAAGATGTTGTATAGCTGGATGCTAAAGTGCAGATTAAAAATATTGCAAATGAAAGCTAGAAATAAAGTAAATGGAGAAAAAGAATACCTCTAAACAGATGATAAATATTTATCTCTTTAACTTTCCATATAAAACTAAAGCCACAGTTCTATGCCCAGAGTAGGTTTGTACAGCTACATTCTGCATCCTTCACAGCCTCTGTGAAATTGAATGATTCAACTCTTTCAAGTCATCTCTCCCTACATAATCTAAATTTGACTGTACATGGAAGGAAGGTGGTTTAGAAGTCTCATTTAGACTACACATGGGGATAGAATTCAGAGACATAGCAGTGTTAGCCTGAAATATCAATATGCAAAGGGATCTTGTAGTACCTTTGAGACTAACTGAGAGAAAGAAGTTGTAGCATGTGCCCATTTTTTCCTAGCAACTATCCTATGAGTAATGTTAGGGTGAATGAAGATTGTATCTGGTTTTTCACTGCTGTAGTTTTGCACTCTTAGCAAGAGATGTGAAGGTTCAGGAACAAAAAAGGTGGGTGGGGTGGACATGTTCACTTTTCACTTCACACACATGTTCACTTTTTCCTGTGAAAAAAACCAGAACTTTGGAATACATAAAAGAAGCAATTCAGTGAAATATTTTCTGTTTTATAACAAGTAAAATGCTTTATAGAAAAGATTTTACTCTCACATCTGAGTAATATGAAGAGTTGTGTGTAAGAGGACTGCAAAATTGGATATAATAATTCCTGTACATTCTATAGACCAGAGTTGAGAATCATATATAATGTACTATATTGCACGCCCCAGCAGCCATAGCCAAGGGTGAGCAATACTGGCAGTTGCAGTCCAACAGCATCTGGATGGCTGCATAATTCCCACCCTTGCTGTAGACACATGCAACAGTTGTATCCACAATGCATTTCTGCATCTTGTGAATACTGCTGTTTTCATGAGAAGAACACACCGGGGGAAGAGGTATTTAATTGCCGCTTGCCTTCTTCTGGTAACCTTCATTCTAGTTTGGTAAAGACAAGGTAGAAACAAGTACCCTTTAGAGCTAACCCTAATCAGTCTTTTCATCTCTTCTGTCAAGTGACTACAATGCATACACCCTACTACACACTGGGAAACAAAATCTTCTTGCCCTGACTTTCTGGATGATAAAAAAGAGAGGAGAAGGTGACTCAGAAAGTTCAGAAGACTTGGAGAAAAAAAAAAATCTGAAACTCTATGAAAAACTGAGCTCTAACAAAAATCAACTGTATTTACATCTGCCTGTGCAGGAGGAGAATATATTTCAGTTTTGCTTGTGCAAAACTAAGGCTTTTATATTTCTAAATTTCATAAATTTGCCAAATATTATATTTTATATGTGAAGTAGTAAAATAAGTTAAGGTTTGATATGCAGGTGGGTATTCCATATTTTAATTTGCCCCAAACGTCTGTCTCTTTCCCTCCTGCAAAACAAAAATAAAATCAAACGAAAAATCCTAATTAGGGCAAAAAATACTTTTTCTATTGATGTTTCAAGAACATCAAAATTTCTGGAAATTTTATATCTCTGCCTTCAAATACTATACCATACTTTTCTGTCTGTCATGGTTGTCTTGCAACAACAAAGGAAACAGCCGGAGTGCAAGAACATGGAAAGAGGAAAGCAGGCTATGCAGGAGTCCACAACAGAGGGGTCAAATCTTTAAAAGATACCTTTCATAACTTTCTCATTTAAACCTTGAGGCAGTTATGAACAGGCTAATATTCTCCCAGACAGTATGATATTTCAGATTCAGGAGCAGAAATGCAACAATGGCAGCTGATCAGTAGAATTCTAATTACAAAACTGAGCCTGTCTGTTTCTTTTGTTAAGCTATTCAAAGTAAGCTCTGGGGTTTTCCTTGGCCCTTTTCTGTTGGCAGTCAGGCCATTTGTAGTGAGCTTTTTGTCTGCTAAGGTCAGTGGTCTGTGTGCTGCATTCTTTTGTGGATGCAGTTGGAATACAGAGGCTGAGAAATGCTTAAACAAAGCCAAGTTTTTATTCAGCCATTGTGGAGTGCTCTGGGTTCACTTATCGACTGCAGTTTCCTCTCTTTTTGTGAGTGACTGATTGGTAGATACATTATTTACTGAAGTTGGAACTGCATTGCTGAAGGGTTTTGTTTTGTTTTTGTTTGGAGGATAGGATGAGTTGTAGTTGGGGAAATGAGTGTCAGAAGCTCAGTGATGGGAGGAGGGGAGCAGTTGTTCTCAATAGTATGGTTAAAACTTTTCCTATAAGTGCCTTGCTGACACAGCGTGTGGAAGCATGTTACTGAATAATAATAGGCAATCCTATTGTGTCCTGCCGGCAGTTCGTATAATGGAGATCTATGTAAGCTTATGTTCCTTTAGTATGGAATGATTCTACAGGCTGGAGTACCTTAGCAGCATGATGATAAGAAACACTGGCTGCAGTTTTAAAGCAGCCTCTAGTCATCTATTTAGCTCATTCAGACTGCCTTAGCGTTCACTGCACTTTAACAGGGGACATTTTCCCTCCTCTGATACCAAAAAGGCTTGTGGAACAGAGAGGAATTGTAAAAGCAGTTTGTGATACTGCACAGGAATTCAGAAACAAAGAAACAAAGGGGAAAAAAGTGCCAGCAATGCAAATCTTCCTGCTTTCTGTTATTTGATATTGTGTTTATTCCTGTAGGTATGCCTAGTTTTTCTATATGGTTAGTGCAGACAGTACATTAAAAAACATGTAACATGAGTGAAATTCTATGACTTAAAGTCTCCTGATCTTGGCCCTAGAGATACGATCCACAGTGACAGCCTCTGCAATTGGTATGCAGACAGCATAGAAGAGGCCTCCTGCACTTGCAACAAAACAAGTGTGTGGCACACCATGATGTAGCTGCTGCTGTACTATGAACTTCAATATACCAACCTACCCAATTACTAAATATAAATTACTATGCAAAGGAAATGGGGCAAGACTTTGGCTATCCTCTTGAATTCTATGAACTTAAGAGATCATGCCATTGCATCTTCCATATCAACCTATTTAAGAGTAACCATCCTTCATGCTGCAGTAAAATAAGCATGTCAAGAGTCATTCTTCTCAGGCCTTGGACTCACTTGATATGCAAAATGCAAACTGCAGCATAATACATACATACAGCAAATGAACATTCCTTATATGAGCCAGGAAGAGTTCACTGCTTTGTCTACATCTATTAGTGAAATATGCATTTGCCATCATGTAATGTGAGCAAGAGTGAGAGAGTGCTGTAGTGGCAGCTCTTGGCTTGACTGAGAAGAGGAAGCAAGGTGACTAGAAGAATATGAAGGTTAAACAGTCTGGTGTTTGTAGAGCAAAATAAGTCAGTGGTTACAAAAGTTGCCCTGATGCTGCAGGTTCACCACTGACAAAAATGCCAAATATGTAGGTGAAGCATCAGTATTTACACATGAAAATGTAATATTGTCCCAAAGGAATATACTATCCTGGACTTAACTGGCTTGAATCCTATTGGTTACTCCTAGCTAGAGGAGACTCATTGAAAAAATTATTGAATGGTGAGTAAACACATCGGTAGATTCTATTAATTCAGTGGGATTCAG